TGATGCATAATACATTTATTTATTTATTTTTTAGTACTTACWGAAAAAAATTAATTTAATTTAAAAAWTTTTTGGATAAATTCAAAATAGTCTATTTGTGAATCTGAGTATAAAAGCAATTTTGATGGTAAAAAGATTTATCTAAGTCAAGTAGTTAATTTTTTAGAAATTTTTTTTTAATTCAATATTTTTTTGGTTAAATTAATTCGGAACACAATAACTTTTTAAAAATATGATTTTTGAGAATTTGCTGACACGAGTATATTATTTCTTAAATTATTTATTTATCATAWAATATTAAAAAAATTGTCATACGATGAATTGGCATAATTTTTTTTTTTTTTTGGTCCGGTCTTTCTGTTACACCCTGTATATATAAACGTGCGTTTTGTTTGGAAGTCAAGTGCGATGCATTAACACAGGAGTCTCGCGGTGAGTGCTCTTCCGACACCCCGCACACCCTGCAGCCTCATCATCTCCTTGCTACCGCTGAAGTATTATATACAGGCGTCGTATTATATATAATAACATATGTGTGTGTATATAAATATCTGATTACCGTCCTCCTTGACAGCTCGAATCAATTAGAAAGAATAAGTATATAATACGGTATTATTACGCGAGGGGGCTAGAATAAATGACCTCTGCTTCGATAACTAACCGCGAGTTTTGTATTAACTGTATATAGTAATTTATACATTATTTTTTTTATATATTTATTCCTAGTATCTATAGTATCTATTATATTTATAGTTTCAAGTTAAAACTTTCAACGTCATAAATTTATAAATTTATAATTGTGAATCCATAAATATTAATGGTTTATGGTAGTACAACTTCCGCTTAGTAGTCCACAGTATTAAATCGAAATGAATCAAAACTCTATATTAGTTATCAAAATGGTTTGAAAATATTGCTCATTTAAAATGTTAGAAAATGTTTCGATATATGTTATACGTTAAGTATATTTAGAATACAACATCTTCACCCCGTCGCAATACTAATAATTGATTCGGTTTGATAATATAATATTGTTTTGTAATTTTTATTTCTATTATCATCACTATACTGCAGTGATATTTAGTCATTTACCGTCACGAATGTCAACGAGAGACCCACTGTGCGACGGCGCGGCGGCGACGAAAATCGTCGACCACAACAAAACCGATTCCCCTTTGAATACTTTTATTTGGTATTGCAGCTACAGTCACACACGTAAATAGGCCTATTAAGTGCAGCAGACGTTTTTAGGTCCGGAAAACAATTAATGAAAAAAAAAAAACAACAACAATGTACGTGTAGTATTATAGCTAGTCCATAATATTATATTTATTTATGTAACAGTTAATGGTAGTGTTATTATCTGGTGTATAGTGCGGGGAGGGGGGCGAGGGAACCGACTAACACAATGATAGTGTATTGTAATAGTTTTAGGAGGTGTACCTATATATATAATATAAGTTATATATATATAGGCGCCCATACCGTCCATTAGCAAAGGTACATGACACGATCGCGATGGCGTAGTATTATAAATGCGAGAAAGAAAAAAGTGAAACGGCGCGTGCTGTACGCGTGTCAAGGTAAAAGCATGGGTCCTGTACAAGTGGTGCAAGTGTCACGTCACGTCGTTTACATTACCCATATAATAATAATATTATTATATATATTGTTGTCATTTCTTATTATGCATCGCAGGGGCAAGCGGCGAAAAAATATTAAAAACCTTTTAACGCTATTAGCCGACGCTGGGCACGGGCTTGTACGACCACTGCCGTTACCGCGGTTATGATACCTATTATACGCGTGCATAAGTTAGGTACACAATATTATTATTATATAAGTACGCAAACCGTTATGTCATTGTTGTCGTATTCCCATGTATACAAGGTCGTGTAACAGATAGAACTGACTTTTCCACTAACTTTTTTTCACATTAATATTTTTTATTTATTTTTTGTTCATTAAGTGAACCTAGCATACATGTATATTGTATAATACATTTTTTTATGTTTAATTTTTTAGTAAGCACTGAAAAAAAAATTGGTTTAGTTTAAAAAATGTTGGATAAATTCAAAATAGTCTATTTGTGAATCTAATTATAAAAACAATTTTGATGGTTAAAAGATTTATCTAAGTCAAGTGGTTTATTTTTTAGAATTTTTTTTTGAAATTCAATAGTTTTTTGGTTAAATTAATTTGGAACGCAAAAACTTTTTTAAAAAATATGATTTTTGAGAATTTGCTGACTTGAGTATAATATTTCTTAAATTATTTATTTATCATAAAATATTGAACATTTTTGTCATACGATGAAGAGATCTTTCTGTTACACCCTGTATGCCTAATATTATTAAATAGCCGCAAATGCGCCTGACGGGAGGCCGACGACATTTTTTCGATATACTATCCGACAATTCTCGGTGCAAAAGTTCACAGCTACATATGTGTTATAAAATATCATACCATATAATTTGTCTGTAAGAATATTATAATATCGTGTGTACAGGGTGTTATATTGAGCTTTGATAAATGATATTATTTACCACCACTTTGTGATAGCCTATACCCGTTATATTACGCATTATTCTTGTAATTATTGAAAGTAATAATATTAAATATTTTTAATTAGGAAACTGATTTATTTAATTACGCCTACAGCGTCTGGCTAGAATTCTAAAAACATTTATTATAATATGTGTATACAGCGTGCACACTTAGGTAATACGATTTTATAGTAATGTGCTAAGGAAAAAATGGTCAATATGTYATTGTAATACTCCCTATTACTTTTTATAAATTCGAACTGCACTATATATTATATTATATTATTTTAATTGCTTAACGTACAATAACTATAATACTATATATAGCTGAACAAATCATATAATTAATATTTTTGTGTATTATTATTTTATTATAGGATTTTTAATTAAAAAAAAAAATAGTCTTTGCAATAGTAATTATATTCTGATGAAAAAAAAGTGGGTAAGTCTTGGATATATAGCTCTGCTGTACAGTAGGTTACAAGTGGGTTACTGTAATGGATGGAATTAAATTTGAATCCAATGATATTATATCATTGTATACGAAAAACGATTCTGAGCGGAGACGGTTTACCTGTCAAGGATATAATATTATAGATTATTATTAAGTTATTAAATATTTGACTTTCCGGTGAACATTTTTTTTGTTTTTGTTTTATTAAGGTAGACAAATCTATAAGGAATCTTGAATTAAATTTTCAAATCTTAGATTTAAAAATAAAATTTTTTGTGAATTTCTATCTAAGGTAATTTTACCTTAAAACATTGCCGTAAGTTTTACATGTTTAGTCAAAATTTTAATTTTAAATGCTTATAAAAAAAATTTTGCGTATGTATTTTTAATATTTTTCAACTGCTATTCTAACAATATGTTAGGTGTCTTGAATTAAATTTTCAAGCTTTTTTACCCAACAAATACATTTTTATCGATCGATTTTAATTTAAATAAAAACTAATAATAATCGAAAATTGCATATGACTATTGACTATAAATAGTTCAACTTAAGTCGAAATTGTTTGAAAATTTTATGGTGGGTAGAAAATACTTATATAAACATTAGGTGAACATTTCATGTACCTCGATGGTCATTTGTTTTAAAGTTACATCAAAAACCAAAATCGATTTTTTCGAAAATTGATTAAGCGTAAAAAAAACACGCATCATTGTAAAATCAATACATTCCTCGCTCCGCTAAGAATCTAAAAGTACTTAACACCTGAGTTTATTATATTATATATAATACAAATATATTATTTTGATTCTCAAAATTCTGTAGTAAAGATTTAATATGGAATAATTTTCTTTTAAAATCTGTAAACTCAAGGTACTAACTCTTTCATACAAAATATACAACACATTATGCTTGTATTTTAATTTAAAATATCATTTTTTCATATATAAATACGTTATTTTGGGTAAAAACTAGTGGGTAGATAAAAAACTAAATCTATAATAACAGCAGGAAATTGTATTGATAATTTTAAATACTTTTTTAGTTGAATAGCTGCTTAATTTCTTTACTTTTAATTGTGCATCTTGTATTTGTGTGTTTTATGTGACCGGTTATTGCGCTAGAGATGGAGTTAGGATTTCCCTTTCCTAAATTATGGTTTTAACGATAGGATATCAAATGACACTTGATTTAGTGAGTTGGTTTATCCATTAGTGGACTCGTTTCCGCGCTCAATCAAGTTGGCTGAATTGTTTTAACTCATTAGGTTTCGGTGATATGAGTGTTCTCATTTGAAACATAACCAAAAAGACCATACTTTCGTATATTTCGATCATCAATTATAGCTGTTGGATTTTTCTGTTTAGCTTACAAGTGCTGGTCTAGTACAATGCAATCGGAAACGTTCCATACAATTTAAAAAGATTAAAAAAAAAATCACTTACTTCGTTACACTATTGAAGCAAACCACCGATCTAGTAATAAATTCTCAAACTAAGTTGTAAATTTCTAAACACGAGTAAAACCTATTTTGGCTATCGATGTGTGTCTGAATTAGTGGTATTATAACTTTTTTCATTTGAATACTTTTGTATTTGATCTTGTTGACACTGATCTCAATAAGATTTAAATAACAATTTCCATGGCATATGCTTCAAACTACGTAAAACTGGTTAAACATTTTTTTGGTTTTACCAGTATTATATTAACTTCAGCCTAGAGATTGGTTGTAACGTCTTTAAGTATAATATTTAAACAAATATTACATTAATTAGGTAATTATTTTTTTGTAAATGATTAGTCATCATTGATGACCTAAGTAGGTTAGGTTCTGTAGTGTTACAAATATGAATTATGTGTTTTGATTTTGGTTAGGTTACCTGTATATCCAAACCGACACCAATTTCGAAGGTTAGGTTAGGTAAGGATGAGGTACCATCGATTTGATTGCCAGGACTTCGTTGAACATGATGTATATTTATAATGTATTTACGTGTTTCAGATGATTTTAAATTCCACGATGTCGAATACCAGAGGAGAATCGAACTTTTGGGTAACGGGGACTTTATATTCAATCGGACGGGGGACCACCGGAGTGCACTATCACGATTCTTGCGGACTCACAGTGAGAGACCATTGCACATACAACAACGCAAAAAACGGTCTAGAGCAGCTTTCTCGCACACCCAGGTCAGTATACTATATTATCTATATGTACTAAAAGTTTAAACGCAAAAACTTGCAGCTAACTAAATGTTAAATTAAGAAACATCGAATATTGAAAAAAGTAATTTTATTTTTGTAAATAAGCATATTTTGATGCTTATTCAAATGTATAGTATATAATAAGCCAATGGCTAAGAGTAGAAAGATCGAAAGTACCACATAAAAGTAGTGCTTCGTTATTATAGCACTCAGGGGCGGACTGGCAGGGCGGGTAAGTGGCCATACCCACCCAGGCCCTCTAGACATTTTATGTTTGGGCCTTGAGCTRTATTTGTTATGTTTAATAATTTTTCAATTCCACACAGTAATCATTACCACGAAAACGAAGACTGCAATATTACAATAGGTACTATTTACAAAAATTAAGTAACTGAAACAGTCARACTGCAGCCGCGAAGGCTATGAAAGTTATTTTAGATTCATTTTTGGAATATGTGTAATCTATTAATTTTTTAAAACAATAATAGTTATTAGTATTAAAAATAGTGTTTAAATTAAAAACAATACATTTATTTTATTTGTACCTGAAAAAGATTTAAGATYTAAATATTGAAGTAACTTGTTTTTTTATTATGTGGAACTTGGTTATATAAAAAAWTTTTTTTTATTCATTTTATTTGTATAATAAAGTTTAAAAATTTTAATATTGAAGTAATTTGTTTTACTTTATTATGTTAAATTTAGTTGAGTATAAACCTACAGAATTTTTTCATTTTGTTATAAGTTCCTTAAAAAGTGATTTTATTTAAAATAAACATTGTAACACGAGTCTCTTATCTGGTAGTTTTAAAACTTATACCCACCTAGGCCTTCAGGGCCTCAGTCCGCCCCTGATAGCACTCATTTAAAATTTAAGAACTCATYGATTAAAAATATAAACTATATAACTATAGTTTATAGTCTACAGCTTGGACTCTGAATCTAAACGGTTTTCCGTCTGTGCTCACAAAATTATCATATAATAATTTAACATCTAACTATGTGGTTCTTTCTCTATGTCGAAGGTGTTTGAATTGGAACGGCGGTTCAATCAGCAGCGTTACCTATCGGGCCCAGAACGTGCTGACCTGGCCCACTCGCTTAAGCTGACCGAGACTCAAGTGAAAATATGGTTCCAGAACAGGAGATACAAGACCAAGCGCAAGCAGCTACAGGTGCCGTCCGGGAGTGGTGGAGGTAGTCCACCTGCCAAAAGAGTAGCCATCAAAGTCCTAGTCCGTGATGATAAGTGTCCTAAAGAGTCTGCGCACCAGATKTCGTCCGAGGCCTTTCATCGTCAGTCATCCAGACACGCGGCCCAAGGTGCAGTGGCCGTGGCGGCGGCTGCTGCAGCGGCGGCGGCAGCTTCTGGCGACTACCGAATGCAGCAACTGTTGCAACAGCAACTGCACCAGCACCGAAACCACGTGCACCAACAACGCCTCCACCGTGGCAGTGCTGAACAGGCTTCGGTCAGTTACTTACACCACCAGTCCAATTTTGGCAACGGGTTACATCACTTTTCTCCGGGTGCCGTCGCCGCTTCCGGTGCTGCTCCATACTACTGTTATGAGTATGGACCGGTAGTGGCGGCGTACCTGCAACATGAACCCGGAAGTCGGGTGTCGTCCACGACCACGATCGACGAGCTGCAGGACACGTCCGACGCCGGAAGCGAGTGTTCAATAAATGTCATCGACGAATGTCCCACTTCCACGACGGTCTCCGAATGATGCGCACCCGTATGTAAATCGACGACCGATTCTCTGTGATCATCGCATCACWGGCATCCGGCACTTTTTAGAGGGTTGTTATTGTTGTTAAAGATCGGAGTAGATGCATTTTGGTTTTCCAGTCATGCAGCGCCCTCGGATACAAAAACACGRTCTTAACTACAACCCTGAAAAACAATAAMCGTCTTTTGCGCGGCGTAGRAGAAGCGGAGAAGGCGTGACGCGTCACGCTAGTAGTTTTTCACAAATCAAATTTTGTTTTTTTTGCCYAGTAGTTATCTTTGGTTGCGATTTTTGATGMTGGTTACAACGTAGTGCTACGAAAAATGAATCGGATTTTTTTGATTTGTTTTTATCTGTGATTTATTTTCTTTGGAGTCTCGTGAATAGCTCGTTCTCCACTTTCAACTCTCTTTGGTACATAGTTTTTTTTTATAATATAGTGTTATACAATATTTTTTATTCATTTCTCAACTCTTCTTATTCTCATTCCACTTTTAGTACCTATACTATACATTAAATATTATACCTAAGCTCTTTTTATACAATTGCTTAAAAATGTTTGTGTATAGACATAAATAGATATAGATATTTATATAGGTAATATTATAAATATAATAAAATAAACAAATTGTATGTACTTAGGTATTATTATGTGTGTTTATTACTCTTATTAGATGCATTCGAATTGTATAATAACTAGTACGTACGACGGAATCGCACAGTAAATGTACAAAGTTCAATAGTGAAAATATGTATACATTATATTGAATATAATAGCTTTTATTTTAAATAATAAATACCTATTTAAGTATGAATTCCACCAGAAAAAAGCTGGTAAAATGTTGTCCATTATATGAACACAACTTGGAAATAAAATCACATKTATGATAATATCTATACATTACACAACCAATAAGATAAATTTACATTTTCATTGATTGTTTTGTCCACTGCAGTAGCCAAACTCGAAAATTCGTCACCTATGAAAACCAATTAATCTAATCAAATAAAATACATGCATATTTATCTATTTTATATATTTATACATTTTAACTACATATAAATATGTTAAAATTAGAAAATAGTAGATCAGAACAACGAAATATTATCATTAGATCATTGAAAAAAAAAATTCCCTGACATAAATTCAGTATATTATGTAAAAATTATATTGTACAATATCTACTTTAATCAGTGAAACTGATTTTTATTGATATTYATTTATGAATATTGTTTRCTATTGATAAACAGTTTTGAAATATCTAGGATCATGATTTTTTTTTTTTGAACGCGGTTTGTGGATAAAATAATTAATATTGTTTCCAATCGATTCATGAACTATGGRGAACATGTTGATAACATTAATAACCATCACATTATCAGCTGTACACATACAAAATAATATACCAAGACAATTTGTATTTTAATTCGAGTATTCAACGTTGTTGTTAGTTTTCTTTGTTACACAATATTAGCTCTTAGATTTTTATCGTAAGAATTTTGTCGTTCCTCGAGAGTATATTTTATATTTGAGCTTATATTAGATTTATCGATTATATCATAWTATTAACATATTGTCTATAATGTAAATATGCAATTTTATACATAGCTCGTAGCCGTAATTTGTTAAAAATTAAATGGATGATTATTTGTTTACCTAGTTAAAAAATAATAAATTTTGTGTAARAACAAATAAACATACTATTGTTCTGTTTACCCTTGTTAAATTTTAGATTGGCAACAATTACATTGTATAATTATTATATACGATTAGATTCTTTCATTATATACTTATCATATATGTATAAATTATTTATTAAAATAAATTAATACCGTACCAACACTACCAACCTACACCAAGTATTTATACAAGTTGTACATATGTGTACAATATATTATATTAATACCAGCTATAATAATAATGAGGCAGCACATAACCCTTATCGAGGTGCAATAACTGACTATAGAGTCTAGTCTATTTTATATAGTTATAGATCAAAATCAATGAACTAAGATAATAATTATATATAAATAAGTAGATAGTAGTGCAATAGTACTTACATATTATTTTAATTTAGTTTATAGATTATTRAAAGTGTCACCACTGAGTGAATTCTTTCTTTAAAATAAACTCGTGTTGTTTTTTACTCCAAGCCTATATGCATAATGTATATAGATTGTTTATTAGCTTTTTCTATTTATTTAGATCAATCACCATCAACTGAAACTCAAATTACTCATATTTATCGATTCGTGTATGACATATTAAATAAATAACGCCTAAGAKATAGCTGTCTTGTAGCCAAAACAACACAACTGTRAACGTACAGCGTATTTACATGTAGAGCTACTTTAAAGCCGAACGTTTAAGTTTCCATCTAAAACGATGAAAAAAATTATCTACTTTCATGACTGKAAATCAGCTTAAAGTTGAGGATATGTCTTGTATAGATTGATGATAAGCAAAATTGTTGGGCAAAATACCTTGAAAATAAACTGGGAAAAATTCCAGGTGCGTAAAAAAAACACGCATACTGAATAAACAACAAAAAACTTTAATTAATAAATAAATAAACCAAACAAACATTTTAGAAA